ACGAATGCGAATGCGAATGTGAATGCGATGGCGAATGGAAATGCCTTGGGAAATCAAAGCACAACTTGAGGAAGTAAACACTTTAAGAAACGCTTATGACACGCATACGCCCCGTGTGTTTAGCGCACTCGAATTGAATGAAACTCGCGCATATAAATTGATAAATATTTAGAAAGGATTGCTGGGCTTGCTTGGCTCTCTCGCTGTCTGTCTGTCTGTCTGCCTGGCTGTCTGTCTGACTGGCTTGGCAGCGACAATGACATTAAATGAGCGGGTGTATATGGAGTGCGCGTAGCAAAAGTCAAACAAGAGATAAAAGCAAGGATTAGTACGTTAAAACGCAGACGAGGATGCCAAGAAAAAGAGAAATAGGGGGAAAGCGTAAGGAAGGTAGCTGCAGCTCGACTATGAGGGAGGTACAAGGGGCTGGGGGCTGGGGGCGGGGCCAACGTTAAGTAGACAGATGAACGTAAAACACGCGCGTGGCTGCGGTAATGTCTACGGCGCTGCAGACGCGACAAGCCCCAACCCTAAGGCAGCCAACCCCCGCACCGACCCGCCCCCACATCCTCTAACGCCCATTCACATTTGTTGGTTGTGCGTGCGCCATATCGTTAAGGCTGCCCTAGTAGCTACAGTGTGCGTGTGAGTGTGTGTGTGTGGGGGGCTGGGATATATATGTACGTACATACAAAAAAGTAAAACTCCTCGAGAGGAAAAAGCATGTTGAAAGTAAATTGAAGCTGGAATTTTTTGTTTCGTGCAAGTGCGCAAAAAGGCAACAGCACTTGCTCTAGCCAAAAATAAAGTTGCCAAAGAAAGTTTTCCAGCTGCTGCCAGACGCTAGCCATATGGAGTGACATAGCAGTTAGCTTTAAGCTCTATCTAATAGAGGATATACGAAATATATATGTGTGTATATAAATCAAGAGTTGAAGAAAATGCTCTGTTGCTCAAATGAGGAACTTGAACAGCGGAACTGAAAGCGTTTATAGTTGAGATTGGTTAAGGATCTGTATGAGCATTTTGAGGAAATTATAGCAAAGGAAAAGCCTTTGGAATGTTAACAAAGCAGTTAATTAGATAATATTATATAATATGAGGTTGTGTAAAATTCCATTTCAGTTTCTGTATTGCTAATAACTATATAATTATATTATAACATTTTGGTTTGGTTAGCCACCACAGCTAAGTCTGCCTCTAGTCACATGTAAATTTGAATGTTCTATAGGTTAGGTTAAAAACTCAAACTATACTAACAGTTATCATTTAGGAGCAGTATATATACATAGATATAGATGATAAGGCTGGCAGTGCACAGGCCGGTAAATAATCTCCTTTGTTATATTTGAATAATTAGTTTGTCAAGTGTTTCTCAGAGTCCTTGAAAGGGACTTTTCTACTTGCACTCTGAGAAAAAAGTCTGAGTACGACGGTTCTGTGAGTGACCTTTAACGAGATCGTTAGATCGTCCAGAAGCAAACATTTCTTGTTTCGATCTCTCCGTTCTTAGTACTCCAAGAGTTCAGCGTATGTATTGGTGGGCTGAATGCTGAATACACATGTAGTTTTTGAGTTATTCGCCACTTACTAAGAGATATTGTGCGAGCGTTAATTGTTTCAGGCCCGAAACGAAGCTCCTTAAAGAACGTCATGCAAATAGCTCAACGCAATTCGATCATACGATGAGGAGTAGATATAAATAACCAATAAACTTGCTCTTGCTCAGAGCGACTCTGTATTCGGTACTCAGTAACACTATTGGGATATTCGATATTCGGCATTTGGTATTTAGTATCACATTCGGTATTTGTTATTCGGAATTAAGCATTCGGTGCTCTGTATCACTATTCGATATTCGCTATTCGGTATTCGGTTTTCGGGTTTCGCTATTCGCAATTAGGTATTCTGCAATCGGTACTATGTATTTTGTATCACTATTCAGTATTCGGTACTTCGAATAACTTTTCGGTATTCTGTATTCGCTATTCTGTATCACTATTCGGTAGTCGGAACTCGGTATTTGATAGTCGGTGCTCTGTATAACTAATCGGTATTCAGCACACCGCAGCACTATTTTGTATTCCGAATTCGGTATTCTGTATAACTATTCGGTATTTGCTATTCGGTATTCGGAATCCTGTTTACTAGTCTGCTCTTCTAATTTCATGTTCTTATCGATTTATTTAAGCTAAAATAAACTTACAACTTTTCCTTACTTGTAAAGTAAGTGAAGGTGAAAGTCAAAGGATAATCTTCAAGTTTTACTCAGATTATTAGCCTGTCACTCGCTGGTCGCTTTGTGTTGTCAATGGGGGTCTGTGCATAGTTAATCTTGCGCTTCATTTAATTTCTGGTTATATTTTGGGCAAAGAAACGCTTTAACGCCTCATTATGCGCCGCAGACAAAAGGGCACCGAAAAATTAAAAGCAAAATTAAACACATTCAATTAAATTGTGTGCAATTTTTCCGGTATGCCAGACCGAAAGCCAGAGTACAAAAGGCAGGCGGCCACCTGCTGGAATCCCAGACCCAGCCCAAGCCAGCCCAAGCCAACCCAACCCAGCCCAAACAATCATTCGACCCGCGAGCAAGCACACAAATCCCCCTCCGAAAAGGTGAAAAGTTATGCCATTGACTGTAGCCGTTGCCAGCGGAGGTAACACTGTACAATAAGGTGCGTGTTGCTCTTCTTATTGCTCTTGTTGTTGTCGTTGTTGCTGTTGTTGTTGCTGTTGTTGTTTTTGACCCATGCTTTGTTGTAATGATGCTTAGCAGGGTGCAGACTGAGGGCACTGCGGCCGGGCGGGCTGCCCAAAATATGGAAGAGTAATGCCAAACATCAGCGCTTATAACTGTGCAGATTATGAAGTTAATTTATCAGCAGCCAAGCGGATGAGCAGACACTCATCCAAAACTGTTGGATAAGGGGGCGTGGCAGTGGCTGAGCGCCCGCTGCTGTTTTTCAGGTTGATTATGAAGCCTTCAAGTGGTAGCTGTTTAGCTTTTTGGCTCACTGGCTGGCTGGCTGGTTGGATGGATGGCTGGATGGGGAATCTGAATTGTTTGGCTGCGCAGGCGGACATTCATTAAGCCATCAAATTGCCTAAGACAAATTTGCCAAGTCAAATGAATAAGTGTCTGCCGTGTGCTGCCGCGAGCTCGCATCGTAAGGGTAAAGTTCAAAGCGCACACACACGAGCTAAGAGAGCTTGAAAGTGACTCCGAATTGGGTAACGAATCAGCTGTGGCGGCTCGTAAGGAAAAGGTCATAATTATAATAAACCTAAAGAATCTGACATTTTTGGAAAAACATATTAAATAATTATACAAAATAATCATTTATTTTTGTGTTATTATTAATTATAGATTTTTTAGTTTTTATAATTTAGTGGAGCATATATAAAGTAGATTTAAGACCTGCAGTATACACATAATATCTCTGACTACCTTTATATTTGTCAGCTAATCTAATTTCCTACTGAGTTTATGCTACTTCTCATCTTTCATTTTATCCGATTAAACAGTGAATATGAATAGACATAGATCTAGATATCTAAGATTTCTTTCAAATTAACTTATACTCTTATTCTTATTCTTGATTTTTTATCTTACATTATTTTATATATAGTTTTATTTCTCAAATTGGTTATCATACATTGCTCTATGCTTTTATTATTTGAAAATAATTGCTTATATACATATTTAAAAATATTTCTTGATTCTTTATATTTGTATTTTTGCTTGAAATGTTACATTTTTATTTGCTGAATAACCTGTCCTCATTCATCTAAAAAGAAAAAAACGATGAAGCTTAAGAGTTCGTTGGCTTAAAAAGCGATCTACTTAAGGTGTTGTATTTTCTTTTTACCTAGGTTAACCTTTTCAATTCAATTTGAAATAATTTTGTTTTATTTGGAATGCTCGAAAAAGTGCATCGAACTTTGAATGGAATGCGACTTGCACAGCTTTGGCTATAACCTTTGACCGCAGAGCTAAGCTGAGTTGCGGTTATTCACATCTGCAAGCCAATCAAATCGAAATCAGAATCCGAAATCTAAATTCAAAGGTAACCCCAGCACAGCTCCACAACAATAAATGAGGTATTAATTAGCAGCCAACTAACTACCGATAGAGCATAAAAATAAACCCAAAAGAAATGTAGTCCAAAAAAAAGAAAAAACACATGTACGTGCTTATATGTGTATGTGTGTGTGTGTATAAAGAAGAAATGATTAATTACGCTAGAGCATAACACATTGAGTAAGAAAGTGTGTGAGAGAGAGAGAGAAAAGAGCTTTTGGGGGCGAGATCTGAGTATGATTTATTGTAATTTAATTGTGGCACATTATGCGGTCGATTTCGGTCTTCGGTCTTCGGTTTTCGGATTCCACAAAGAGAGCGCAATGGGCGCGTTTCGCCTTCTGCATTTGAATGCCATTTTTATTATATTTTTGTATTCTTTATTTGTTTGTATTTTTCTGGAGCATGAAAATTGCTAAACGAGATAACTCGAAGACAAGGGGCAAAAATGTTTTTGGTGTCTAGGGTCCACTAACAGTGCCGCAAGGCAGCTGAATAACTGAGCAGCTAAAGCAGCTGAAACAGCTGAAGAAATCGATGCAACGCCACATGCCACACCCATACACCCACACACCTTCAGTCGCCCGCCCCATCCGCAGGGCCGCGCGTCAGACAGGCAAAAGTTTTCGCTGGCAAGAAAACAAAAGCAAATTATCATATCATTGAAAGTTGAAGGACGAAGCAGGAGGCGGGGCAGGAGAGCAGCGAAGCAGCTACTGATGGCTTTGTTTGTTGTTTGGGAGGTCGACTGGGTGGTCGCCTGGGGAGGTGGGGAGGGGCAAGCGCAGGGGCGCTGCAGATGTAACCAGGTGAAAGAAATTATATATTCCCTTGATTATAATTTCATCAGCGGCAACACTAAAGCATCATCACAGGCATGTCGAAGACATCCAGCGACCGAACAGGAGCTACACACCTCTCCCTGCCTCTCTCTCTCTCTCTCTCTCTCTCTCTCTCTCTCTTGCTCTCTGTCTGCTGCGGTTGCCTCTCGCCAGGCAGCGATGGAATGTTGCGATGATTGAGTGCCAGTAGTGGAGCAGCCAGCTGCCTGGCTATGGCCGGAAACAGCGCGCTGTACATTTATTGACTGCTTTGGCAGCGAGAGCGAAGACGACGCTGAGAACGAAGGCCGAGCCAGTCAGTCAAGTCCTTGCCAGGAGCTGCGGCCAGACAGAAATCAATTGTTCCCATTATTATAATGAGATTACTTACCTACTGAACGACAAAACGTCGCAGCGAGCACTAAAGCTATGTATACAGCCCACTATACACATACATATATATACCTATTTACCTGCTCACATAATGACTTTAGTAGTCAGCGGAAAATGTTGGAAAATTGCTGTGGAAATGCTAAAAAAATGCTCAAGTTGAAGGTTTCATTTCGCTGCTCGAACATCAGCGACGTCGTTGACGTCGACGAATTTCCATTCATGCTTTCGCCACTCTTCAGTTGCCCTCTTTATCAACGCTTTCCTCTTCATTCCTTTTCGTTTTGCTCTTACTTTTGTGTTTTTCCCCCAGCATTTCAGGATTTGCATTGCATTCGAGCGCTGAGATTAGCGCATGGATTGAACCAACTCGAGCTGTGCTTCTCCAACCGGAATTGCTAAGTCGGCAAATGGGGTTTTGATTTGCCTGGAATTCCTCAACAGCCAAGGCATCTCAATTGAAAATTAATGAGCTTCAAGCTCCGCCAACAGGTGGCTGCAACTAACCGAAGGATTATGGACAAGTGCACGGATTCTGTTCATAGTATTTTAAAGAGGGAGAGAGAGAGAGCGAGAGAGAGCGAGAGAGAGAACTTTGGAATTAGGTTGAAATATATATAGATATTTATAATGTATTATATATATTCTATGGATACATTACTATTTAAATGCACTGTTCTTTTAGAGAATAGGCTCATATAGCATAGAGGAAGAACGAGTGCAGCTAGCACAGATAAAGATTAATATATAAATGATAAATATTAAGATCAACACTCAGTCCAGCAGTCAGTCTTAAGGGAGCCGGCGTCTAAGTCGTCTCATTCTACTAATAGCAATGCTAGCAGAACTTTGAACTGAAGTACCCGTTCGAATGTGAATCTAATCTCTAGAGATATTGGTTGCTCAGCTTCTGAATTTTGTCTCAAATTTTTGGCAATTAGGGGTTTCGCTTCATGTCTTTGGTTCACACAATATAAACACTTGAGGATCGAAGCCAGAGGTAAACGCGCATGCGCAAATGCTCAATTGAGAGAAAATCAGCTTGGATAGTCTTCTTGAGAAAAGCTTGCAAATGGCTCTTTAGCTCGGCTAGATAAAGCTAAAGACAGTGACAAAGCGTCGTCGACCTGAACGACAGCTCATCAAAATAGCAACAGAGAAGATCAGAGATCTCAGCTAATGTGCTTAGTAATGCTTAAGAGATGCCGGCGCTGGATATGCTCAAGTAAAGCACGCCCGAAAGTTAATCAAGCATATAATATCTTCAGTGTGGCATGAGGTATGAGGAATGCCCCTGCTAGAATCTATTTGCTTTCGGTTTATCCCACGCTCTTGGCGCTATCTAGAGCGCTTTCTAGGCGAGACAGAAAAAATAACAACACTTAACGGAGCAGAGCGAGCTCTTTGCGCCAGACAAAAGAAAGTAAAGCGACGTCCATTTAGAAGACAACATAGAAATTTTGATAAATACTTGAGAAAAGCCAACTGCCATGGATATGTGTGTAATGTTAAAAGTTTTTCAAAAGTGTTTGGATATTGAACTTAACCCATATAAAGCAGCAGGAGGCGGGCGGAGGGAGTGAGAAGCGTACGTACTTGGAGAAAAGCCCGTTTGAAAAGGTGTGAAACGACTTTCGCTTTTTCACAGCTAAATCAATAACAATAAATGCGAGTAAAAATAAATATAACAAAAGATGCTGAAAGAGCTGAAATTGATAGAGACAGAGCAGCAGCTGCTGCTGCTGCTGCTGCTAGGTCAAGCAGCTTGACGAGCTCTGGACGTGGACACGGCTCAATTTCAAGAGACAGACGGACAGCTAGATGGATAGAGGGGCACATGAAAGAGTTGCAGAGCAGTAAAAAGATATATCGATGAACGAGACGCTCGTAGGCAGCTGAGACTCATTGCTGTCCATATGAGAAGTCGGCTTAAGTGGACTCGAGTGGACCGAGAAGACTCTGACTGTCTGTGTGTGCGTGTGTGTGTGTGTGTGTATTAAAGTGAGTGTGCGGCATGTGTGAATATCACATGTCAGTGAGCTATAATTAATGCGGGTCAGACGCCGATTACAATGCGCCAACTGACAGCTTGAAGTGCATGTGTGTGTCCAGAGAGCAAAGGCCGAGGTAGACGCAGAGCTCTGGCCAGGGGCGTAGAGCGGGGCTGGCTGTGGGCGGGGTGGGGCGGTGGGTCAATGACAAGTCAAGAAACGAAAGCGACCGAAATCGATGGCTCAAGTCAATTGGCAAGAAGGCGAGTGAAAGAAAAGCAACAATGATAAGCAAATTCGTTCGCTCTGGTCACACCGCTCGCAGCGCTCGCTCTTTCACTTTCTATCAGGCGAACTATTGAACCGCACACTCGAAAATTTATTACAGCAGCCAGCCACAAAAATTTGTCTAACAATTTCAGATCTGCCTCCCTCTCAGCTTTTTCACACAGAATGCGACAAAATTAATGAATTTTCTATGCAAATGCAAACCAAAAAAAAAAAAAAAAGAAGAAAAAACGCGAAATAAAATTTAATGCCTGGAAAAAATGCGCAAGCGACGTGCACAAGGCAAACAATGAGGCTGGGGTGTGGCAGGGGCAGGGACGGGGGCGAGTAGTGAGAAGAGGAAGAAGATTGTCAGCAAATTGTAGCACAAGAAAAATTAAACGCATTAGGCAGGCGACCAAGAGCCAAGGCGTGCCAATGCCCGCCCGCCTACTGCTCTCTCTTTCTCTCTCTCTCTCTGTCTCTCTCTCTCACTCTCTGTCGTTGCCCCACAAGGCAGACACTGAACGGCTCTTTAAACCTGTTCGTCGTTCTCCGCTTCTTCTTCTGCTTTATTCTTTATCGATTTATGCAAAACTGACAGCAGGCTCCTTCCCAGCAGACCTGCCCCACAGCAGCGCCTCACAGCTCCTGTCATTATGTACATTTAGGCCTTGTTGCTTCAACTGTTTGTTGTTGTTGTTATCGTTGTTGTTGTTGCTGTTGACAGGCGCTCATTTGATTTGACTTGCAACTGGGTCAGGCTCCGACTGAGCGAGGCTTAGGGCACTGCCTGCCTCCTGCCAGTGGCAGGCAACTACATGTCCTTGTGCCAGTCCGATTGACGAGCAGCTGTCAGCAGCCAAGAAGGCAAACGAGAGAGCAAATCAATGTCTATTGATAAACAATTGACAAAGCCCAATTCCGAGATGCATGAAACCAGAAATGCTGAAATAAGGTTTAATAAAATGGAATATAGAAAATATATATAAATTTTACTTACTTATTACTTATTTTCATAAAATAATAATAATTTTTATGTCTATAGAGCTTTGATTAATAAGGTTTTACGTAATATATATAGGTATTTTTTATTTATGTCTAAAATTAAATAAGTATTTTTTTTTTGTTAACGAATAATAATACTTAAAATGTTTGCTAAAATTATCAATATATATAATTATATAATTAATATCAATAATATAATTAATTTATAGTAATATTTAAAATATTCATTTATAATAATCGAAATATATAGTTGAAGCTGTAAAATGTTGGAATACATTTACCTTTTCGCGTAAATTAAAAAAAAACAAGTAAGAAAGCTCTAGTCGAGACTGCTCGACTACGAGATCCCCTGAACCCTTCGAGCAACTGATATTTCAATAATAATTCGCACATACACACGCACACATACACACGCACACATACACACACACGCATACAAACAAACACACGCACACAC